CTTGTAATTAGCAATTAATGCACTCTAGTTTCTTGTACCAACTTGTGTATCTTAGAGTGAGCCTGAGCCAGACTGCATTGTGCTGCATTAAAAGGAGGAGTCATAGTAGTATCAAAACACTGTTTCTTTGGGCCAGGTCTTCATTGATTATTGCCCTCTCGCTTTGCATTGAAGGAATTACTAGCCTGAGACTCCCACTCTGCAAAAAGGCAGTGTGGTTGTTAACAGTGGTGTCAATGAGAGGTATTTTCATTGCTGCTGGTCGTTTGGATTCCTTTTGGCATCCTCCTGTCTCTAGCCTGGGCAGGGTCTTGTTCTGCGTCTTCTCCCAAGTCATCACATTACCCCGCCTCAGAAGACACACCTTGGCCAGAAGCCGTGGAAGTGCTCTGAAGTTGCTTGTCTTGTCTCCGCATCCTTCTTCCTTTCACATGTGTGATCTCATCCATTCTCCTCTCGTGCTCTGTCCCTCCCCTGTGTCACTTTCTGTCCGATTCTCTCTCCCTCCAGTCTTCCGACGAGGCGTCAGCCTTTTGGACCTGTGACCCCAGCTCCGGTGTATCTGTCTGCGTTTCATGGTCCCTTTATCTCCTTGTGCAGCCTGCGGACTCCTCCTCCTGCGTTCCCCCTGCCAGGCCATCGATCTCTTCCCCAAACTGGGGGTGCTGTCCCCAGCCATGGGTGATCCTGCCTGTTGCCTTTGCGGTGACTGTGTGCAGTGAGATAACTATGAATAAAGGAGAATTCAAGACCCCTGATTTTATTGTTCTCTTTATCCCATTGCTTCTACAGAAAACATATTTTCCTTGCCCATCTGCTACACTGAGCAGATTTTCTTGTATGACCTAGGTGCTCCTGATGCATCTGCTGGCTTTCTCCCAGCCTCTAGCTGCAATAATCCACCCTACTGACAAAACAGTTAGTGAAAAGCTGGGGGAAAGAACACGGGGTGTTTCATCTGGAGCTGGCACCAGATTTGAAAGTGAAGGGAACAAATATGTGCTGGTGTAACCTCCGTGGGGTTAGTTCGCTTGAACAGGATTTCCCAGGCAGGGACTGATCTCGCTGTTTTCTAGTTTATTACATCAGACCTAGAATGTCTTTTAGAAACAACCTAAAGTAAGTAGCAGAGGACAAAACACTGCAACTGAGACTGCCAAATGCGTCGTTACTGTTCTGGCACTTTGTGAAAAAACAAATTGATTTCTTTTTCCTCTCCTAATGTGAAAAAAGCTATGAATGAAACACTGGGAGAGGAAAAATAAGGCCAATTAAAATTGAAGGGAGGAAAGACTGGAGAGACGCTTTCTTGCAGAAAGGATAAGAGATGTGCTTAGAAATGGGCACTCTTTATAAAGCTCTCACTTTCTCCACGTGTTCTCTGGCATGCCCGGTGTTAAATTCCACTAATTGAATAATACTGTTAGTATTAACACTGGAGATTTGTATCCAACAAGGTCTGTCAGAGGAAATGTGTAAGTACTAGCAGTTTATTCTCTGTAGTCTAATGCAGAGGGGATGGATTTTTGATAGGTGTAATTTTGGGTAAAATAACAAAAAGTCAATTTTTTTGTGACACACCTGAAATATCATGTTAAAAATGGGAATTTTCCTGCAAAACAGCTCTTCAATTATAGATTTTGTAAGCAAAAAGTTAAAATAGAGTGTAAGAGAACGTACAATTTTGGAAAATCAGTTTGACAAGGTATCCTGTACAGTATTACACTCTGCCTGCCATCACAAGACTTTTATAGCATGGTGGGTGAGGCTTACTCTGTGGATATACAGGTGTTTGCTTCTAACTTTCACCATGGAAATAAAATCCATAATGAAATGAATAGATTCAAAATAACATGAATCCTTTAAAACCAAAATGATAGAAATAATTGTGTCAGGGGCATGCTTGCAAAAGCACCATTTTATGTATATACATGTCTTCTTTATATGTATATGTGTGTATATGCATAAATAACAGGGAAGAGACAAAGGCTAAGAAGATCAGAAAATCCAAAGACTGAGATGTTTCTCAAAATGTTAACTCACCCCCAAGCATACAAAATAGGGCAAGTCAGGCTGCCCTTCAATCTCTCTTTTTCATTCGATTAATTTTTAGGTCCGGAGAGGAGCGTTGATGTCACTGATGTCACCAAACAGAAAGACTGCAAGATGAAGCTTAAGGAATTTGTGGATTACTACTACAGTACAAACAGGAAAAGGGTCCTCAACGTGACCAACCTGGAGTTCTCGGACACGAGGTAAGAGCGCGGTGCCTGGGACGCGTGGCGAGCTTTGGCTGGGGGAGCTGGAACAGCCTCTGCCTTGGTTCCCTCTTTGGGAGGTGCTGCTTGGCCATGGGAGAGCTGCTTCTTGTTGCCCTGACTCTCCGCTGCATCGTCCGTCTGCAGCCAGCTCCGGCAGAGCACGGAAAGGCAAGTGCTGTCTGCTGTGTGAGGGGAGTGGTACCCAGTACCACGGAGTAAATGGGCCAGCGTTTGTCATGGTCATTCGCACCTACATGTCATCAGCTTTCTTGTGCCATCAGCAGTCGCCTATCAGAAGACAACATTTTGGCACCTTTCAAGAGTTTAACTCTAGCAATATAACTATAGTTAATTCATTGCAACTAAATACTAGTGATTTTTAACTAGAGGATAGCTTCCAGGAGCGAATTCTCTGCCCGGTCCTGGTAGTGAATGGTAACGTAGTGTGTTCCTGGTTTGAGCTTAGGTACGTCGATACAGCTTGACAGCTACTGGTAAGGCCAAAGAAAGGAGGGCAGAGATGACCACAGAGGTTTGATAAAGCTGTATGCGGGCTCGTGGGAGAACATGGACATAAGGGGGTTTATTTTTTAATATTCTGTGTTATTTTTCTGGTGAGATGGGAATCCTGATGGATATAAGGCAATGACAGCCCTTCTTCCAGCTTGAAACATGGTGATCTCCTCGGAGCATTCTTTTGTAAAACATGACGTACAGCAGTGAACATCCTACTTGTATGGCATTGTTTTGAGTGCATCATATATTGCTTACTGAAATCTTCCGTTTAAAGTAGCAGAGAGTAAGTAAATAGATGAGGTGTGGCTGTAGGTATAGTGTAATATGTCACTGGATGTCCCTGAATGAGAGTAAATGTGCCAGGATTATAATTTTGTAACGCCATACCATGCGCTACAGCTTTAGTTTCAGCGCTTTGGCGAGTTACCCTGTAATCTGCACGGCAGCAGTTCAGCACTAGAGTGACGCTGGCTTCTCGACGGAAAGTTGGGGGGTGACGGTACAGGTGAGCTCTGAATTTGAGGTCGAGGTGCTTTGGTGATGCAGTGAGCCAGAGGAAATGGTGCTGGCTGCGTGCACATGGCAGTCCTCAGTGACAGGAAGCCTACTGTTCTCCTCATGGTTTGTATTTTATGTTTTATATATAGGATGACTAGCTGATGGGAGTGCCCAAGAGTTCCAGTTATTGCTTTGTGCTTTATATAGCTGTATTCATCAGCTGAGCTGTGCTTTTATTCCAGAAGTAGGCAGATGCATCTATAATGTACTGAACTTCGTGCAACTGTGCAGATCATTTTTACAGTTCTTGTAGTCCTTCTGGGTAGGTAGTGCTTGTAGAAGGGAAGTGTCAGAGAAGGAAAAGATTCCTTTATGTACAAACGCTACACAGATGATGATGAGACATAAAAATAAAAGTGGTTGTTTTGGGGAGCATTCCATTTTAGCAAGAAGGCTTAAAGTAGCCTTAAAAAAGAAGGCTGATGAGTAATTACAAGCTCATTTTTTTTAAAGCCATTACCTTTAGCCCTGTAGTTACTGTTGTAGTAGTGCACACCCATTTCTGCAGAAAGCATCTCTAGTAATTACAGGCTTCAAAGATTACCAGTATCTTCAGCTGAGATTTTTTTTTTAGCTTTCTGCCATTATCCCAGAATAACGGGAGGTCTTTTGTTCTGAAGGACTGCTGGAGCTGTCACTCAAATGCTGCTAATTTAGACATTAACTAGCAAATATTTTATTTCTTAACACTGACAGTGACACTTTAATTGAATGCACTGCTCCATCTTTCCCTGCTATTATAAATGGAGCTATTGTTATCGGTGTTTGACAGTGAGCATAAATGACACATGGGAGCATTTAATTTTAGTTTGAAGTGCAGATCCTCTTACTGACATGGTATTTTAGAGTGTCCAACAGTGAACCTCCACCCCCTGCAAATATTTGTCCACATTATGAACTATTTAAATATAAAATTTAGCACATTCTGGGATGCAACACACTGAAAATCTGTTTATCATACCACTGCATCATCTTAGCTGTGATTTATAGTATATATTATATGTTTACTATAAACATTATACAGAAAGTATATAATAAATATATACAGTATGAATATATGTCCAATGTAAATATATTCATTTATGTAAATGATATAAATTAATATTATGTATGTTGTATTTTAAATATATTCACATTAACACCCCAAATTAGACTTTTTCCTTCTTCTGAGCTTTTAATGTCATTTAGTCAGTCTAAATAAAAGGATCACTGTGATTTCCAGCATCAGATCAAGACTTACTTAGTCTCTAACTATTAACATTATTGGTATTAGTTTTAATACTAAGCTTAACTTGCAAATGTTTAAGATTTGCCAGACCATTTGTGCAAGAGAGCACGCATTTCACTTTCTCTTGGGAAGGAGGCAGGAGAAGTGGCTGGGATAACAGCGCTGTTGATAACTGAGCCTACACAGCACGAGGCAGGAACTGGAAAAACACAAACAGCGTATACTTCATCATAAGTACCGCTACTGAAAGAACCCAGAGGATCATTGCTAAGTCTGCTAAGTCATCATGCTTGAAAAGCCTTAAATCTCGGTCTGTAACCAGTTTTCACCATTTTTCTGAGCGAAGAGCAGTTCCGCTGACATGTACGGAGCTGCTTCAGGTTGCCATGCAAGTATTGGAGTCACACTCTGCTTTTTGTTGTATCGGGGTCCTTCTGCTCTCTTTTTAAAAGATGCACGTTTGTTTTCGATTCTCTCCGTAAAGGATGTCCAGTTTTGTGGAGCCTCCAGATATAGTTAAGAAGTTGTCCTGGGTGGAAAACTATTGGCCTGACGATGCTCTTCTGGCTAAACCAAAAGTTACCAAGTACTGCCTGATCTGCGTCAAGGACAGCTACACAGATTTCCACATAGATTCGGGAGGAGCTTCTGCGTGGTACCACGTGCTGAAGGTGAGGGGTCATCTTTTTGCAGTGTATCTAGTAACGAACTGAATTTTACATGCAAAGACCATCCTAAAATCCTCTCAAAAATTCAGGGCTCAGGGTTTTTTCTCCCTATGGTCCTGTTGTATCCATAAGAAATAGGCAGAGCCTTAACTGCTGTGAGTGGGAACGCTCTCAGCAGTGCCAGGGTCTGCTGAGCGAGGAAGTCTCTGGAGTGTGGAAGTTGTCTGTGTGTTTTCACTGTATTTGAATTTTAATATTTGTTTAGTGCCTTCTGCACATACGTCACCTAAGACCTGAAAGATATTACATCCTACTTTTGCAGGATAATGGAGTCTGGCACTGCAAACTTTTTGCAACATCAGTCCCACAAATGTGAGCAAATGTGGTCAGCTAGTGATTTAATTATTTCAGCCATTCTGTACAAAGCTGACGAGTAAATTTTATTTCAAGAGTGTTAAAATATGTAATGCTATATATGTCTTTAGATAAATATCTGTGTGCGTGCTTGTGTGTGCGTGAATCTGTGCCAGTGCAACAGTGTTTGGTTTGGCTGCTTGTTGCTAATTTTATATTTTCTGATGCAGGGAGAAAAGATATTTTATCTCATCAAACCAGCCTCTGCAAATATTTCTCTTTATGAACGCTGGCAATCGGCAGCAAACCACAGTGAGATGTTTTTTGCAGACCAAGTCGATAAATGTTACAAATGCACAGTTAAACAAGGACATACGCTCTTCATTCCATCAGGTGAGCAGGCTGTTGCAGGTGAGGTTTCCTGCTCGTTTTAGAGCTGCTGAAATAGCACGTCCAAAACGCTCAAGGGCTGCGATTCGACCACTTTCTCTGACAAAGTATGAAGCCTGATTCTCAGTAGAAGTGTAATTTCATATGCTTACCAAAAAAAAAAAAAAATCAATCAAAACTTTTACTGCTTTCTATCAATATTTCAGCACCCTTTTAAAAGTACAACTAGTAGGTAAAGCGTTCCACCCTTGGTCTAGCTGGTTTGCAGTAACTCAAGAGTTCTCTCACCCATGACATAGGTGCTTTTTGCCATCTAACAGAGAATTCACGTTGGGTTACTTGCTGACCATGATTTCCACAAAACCTGTTCACGGCCATTGATTCCCCGTGACACTGAGGAACTATAGGTGCCCGCGTGAGCGTGAGCATGCATTTATGGTTTCACATGAGGCTGAAGGCCAGGGTGTCACAGATTTTTATGGATTACTTGGTAGACTCAGGCTTTCATTGCAGGTTAGGGATGGTGGATTTTGTTTTTCTTCATTCCTGGGAGGATCTTCATAAGGATAGGGAGTTGCTCAGCAGATAGTGCAGAATTTTAAGTGAACGCAGCTCTATTCCTGCCCCGTCCATCCCTTTCCTCTCACCGTGAACAATTATTTCCTCATTTGCATTGCTGTTTCCAGCACTCCCTGTTACCTGTTGAAACTGTAATCTCTTTGGGATGTGGATTTTCTCTGCCTCTATGCGCCTTTAAACGATGCCCTGCCCACTCGATCCATGATCTGAGTTGAGGCTGCAGTGTGAGTAGGGAACGCACTGGTACTTGCGTTTCGGAGGCAGCATCCAGTAGTGCCATTTTTCTGTGTGTCAGTAACATTCTTTGCACAGAATGTTTACACTCTTGAATTTTACTTTGACTGCTGAAAGTGGAAAGTAGGTATTTCTCTCATGACCATATGTGGCGCAGATGGTGGAATAAACACAGAGCAATTTATAGAGATTCACTAATTTAAGTAGGTTTTTGTATGAAAATAAGTGTTTGGAAAACACCTGTTCCTGGCACTCCAATAAAGTCCCTGTCAGGAGCTGTCACAGATTTTTATGGTGATGTGAAAGCAGTTACCGTTATGTAGCTGCTGCTGCTTTTCACAGTAACAAGAAAGTACTGTCAGTGTGAGCGGTCTGTCCCCTTTCGCTGTCTGCCACCATCGAAGGTAATCCTGGGACTGGGAGTAAGAGGTGCGTAGCATCGTCCTGGGCTGAGCCTTTGTCATGCAAAACAGGGGGCCAGGTGCAACTTTGTTCAAAGCGTATTTGTGTTGTGAATAAAGGCTTTGTTACTGTGATTCCAGTTTTTATCCTTGGGATTCTTCTCTTTCTCTTTTAGGTTGGATTTATGCAACTCTAACACCTGTAGACTGCCTGGCCTTTGCAGGACATTTTCTACACAGTCTAAGTGTTGAAATGCAGATGAGGTAATCTATCTTTGAAATCTAGATTTAGATAGAGGCTCAGTTGTTAATAAGTTGGCCATCCTCTCTCCTGTTAATTAGCCTAGATTTGCAGTAATGTTGATGCAGCTCTATTGGGCAATTTTGGAAAGCGCAGCCACATTTGTCCCCTTCAACCGTGTCCTCCCATGCTGAGTAATTCCAAGCTGCCGTTACACCTATTGCATAGCGCGTGGAAGGATATGTGAGGTGCTTGGATTGATGTGGCCAAGTCCTGAAGGAAGAACTGTTAAAACCCGTCAGGAGTTTTACCCATGAGCATGCCATTCACCTTCTGGACAAGCCCCCACCTGCTCAGCTGGGTTCTTTGCCCAGTGTAAGACAATCTAAGTGGGTCTTTACTGATGCTGGACAAATAAAGCAATAAAACTATCTTACATCTGTAGCACACAGTTTCTTACCAGTGTTATTTTTATGGTTTGCTTTTGGTCTGATGCCAGAATACATGGTAGCAGCACAAAGAAATGAAGTGCTGCAAAACGAATCTCAGGCATTTACGAGCAGTGGTTGTCGCTGTGCGACATACTCGTGACATGCTATGCTTTAAGTTCATGTGGCTTTGTATTGCAGGGCATATGAAGTAGAAAGACGGTTGAAAATTGTCAGTCTGACCCAGTTTCCGAACTTTGAAACTGCATGTTGGTATATGGGAAAGCACCTACTAGAGACTTTCAAAGGTAAAACGGCATTTCTTCGTCTGTCTTAGTTGGTTAGCTTTGGGGGCCTGAAAATACTCTTAATTTCTGCTCATGTGTCATGTAGAAGATAGACAGGTGGCCAAAATCAGCCTTGTTAGTATTTCAAAACTACTTTTAACATACTAGCAGAACACGCTGGTCTGGTCCAGCTCTCCCCTTAATATCCTGCCATCTCGCTCTAGGAAGGACCTTAACTGTCCCTCTTCCCTGTGCCTCGGGGACGTTTCATCTTCTTTGTAAAACATTCAGGTTGCCTCAGAGGCAAATATATAATGTTGTAACATTTCTTTGTAGTTGCCTGTCAAGTCTGGATTCATCCCCTGTTTTGAGCTATGTGCTCTGTCAGCCCAAGGCATAGAGTAGCACTTCTTCTCCCATCATTCTGCTGATCCTGCCCGAAGTACGTGGGCAGGTCACATATACACGAGGCCACAGGAACATCAGAGATGTGGCCAGCAGGAGCACTGAGAATTAAAGCAAAGTTTTCTGTGAAATTCAAAATCTCAGCCCCAATCAGATTCCTTCAGAGTCAATCCAAACATCCATGCGTGTATGTTCTTTACACATTCGGTCTCACTTTGCTCTTTGCCTCTATTTCTCTTATTACAGAACGTGTCTAGAGACACCCACCAGATCCTTTCATAATGAGAAAAATGTGTCCAATTAATAAGCAAGGTGAGGGGTCCCTCTGAGTGTCACCTGGAAGGGGGCCCCCTGTGACCAACTCTGAACAGAAACTGGAATGAGGGGAAGATTTTAGGCAAGCTTGTATGCATACAGAAGTGAAATGCTTTGCCCAATATAACCTTTGTTTCCACATATCGGTACTTGCTTTTTCAGACAGAATAAAAGACCTGCTGACGGTACCTTTTTATTCCCACAGCCTGGGATGCATGAACGTGGAAGCTAGCTTGAGTGTGGGACCAAGAAAGGAGCTGGAAGGATGGCCAGTGTAGACATAACTTAGAGGAGCACAGTGTAGGAAGGCTGAGGTGGATTTATGACACAGTAAATATACTCCTTCTTACCATCAAGTTATAATAGGGATTCATTTGTGGTGACCAACTTCCAAAGAGTTAGCTGTCACAGTTAAACATTTTCAAATTAAAGACTTTATGTAAAACAACTTCAGCTAGCAGTGTTTGAATGGCATTGTCTTTTTCCTCTACTTAGGTTTGCATAAAGCTGGGCAACAACCTCCTGCTCATTTACTCCAAGGAGCAAAAATTCTCAACGGTGCTTTCAGGTCATGGACTAAAAAACAGGTAGGAGAAGCAGCCTGTTTTAATATTGGATGTTTCTCAGGTTTGTCAGTCACTGGAACAGAGAGTAAATGTTAGAACAAATAGTATCTCCATAGCAAACCAGCTAATTCTAAAATCCCAAAGAGGAGGGACTGGGAGAACAGGGAAGGAGGGCGATAGCCAGGGTTTCAAGGTGCCACACGAGGAGCCAGCAGGAAGAAAGGTTCTACCAGAGTTTTAAACCAGTCAGTTCTGCACACAGCCAAAAGGATACTGAACGGACGTTCTCCCTGACTCTGAGCATTTTCATCTGCCAAAGCAATTAAGCAGAGGTTGTGTACACAAGCGAAGCCTAGAACAACGCCTGTATTTTTGTGTGCACAAGGTGCCCAGTTCCTGCAAATCAACACATTAATTGAGCCAGGAAATACATATTGGTTGGAGAGAAGGCTTAAAGGGATTTGCAGCCTGAATTTCCTGCTCCAGTCATTTCAGAACCGTTATTCTTGTGTGTGTTGCTCCTAAAGTTTCGGGGAATTAGCTGCATGCAGGAGACAGGCCATTCGATCGTAAAACGTGAACAGGGGAACTAGCAGCTTTAGGATTTTCAGACGTTTTAAGGAGGGATGAGCAGCTGAGTGCAGAATGTTGCCCGCACAGTTAGGTCAGTTAGGTGGCTGTGCCAGATTCCCGTGTCGTCAGGGACCTGGCTGCTCCCCTCTGCAAAAAGCCAGCGCTGGAGCCCGCATTCAGAATTGCTCCCTGGTTTCCTGTAGAAGGACTGACTGGGGTGCAAGCTGTCTTCTCTGTGTCACCCTCTTTATTTTTCCACTTGCCATGCAGATGAGAAGTAGTGAGTCAAAGGAAGTGAGGCTGTGTTGGCATTTAGGTGAAGTTGAACTCTGAATATTATAACATGACATCTGAATGCAAATGTTGTTCATCCGGTCAGGGAGCTCCCAAACCACTCTGCTGACAAGGTATATGCCTGGTATACTCATCGAAGACACCAGCCTAAGGCTTGTAGATGTAGAAAAGGAATTTCTCACAGAATTTCATATAAAGGGGTGAGCAAAGTGATGTTACAGTTGTGAAATTGCCATAATATCTGGAGAAGACTATTGACTTTGTTGTTCTCGCAGGACAACTATTTACAATAGCATTCAGAAGGGGAAAATATATTTTTTTCCTTATTTGGACTACTGATGCAGTCAGTATTGATTTCAGTACATAGGAAAAATATTGATGTGTCACTTAATGAGAATTTTTTTATATTTTTGCAAAAAAACCATGCACAGAAACAGCCGTCTGGCTTTCTTCTGTTTTAGGCTTTAGCAGAGCATGAAGATGAACTACCAGAAAACTTCAAACCAGCACAACTTATCAAGGACCTTGCCAAAGAAATAAGATTAAGTGAGGTTTGTGCTCTTTTCATGATATTAACTATATTGTGGGTCTTTTAGTAATCTAGGCTATAAAATGTATGACTCGACACAAATGAATCATTTTTTCCCACTCTTCATTAAAAGACTTCAAGTGAGGTTACGCAGTGTGTCTGCCTGTCCTACATCCTTCCTCCTCCACCTTCTCCTGACTGGATTGGCCACACTCCCCTCTCCAGCCTTATCTTCTCTTTCGCTTTAGCTACTCCATACCCAAACACATGACAGAACCCAAAGAACGCTGTTGCCATCGCCGTGATCATGTTCCCTATGGAGTATCTCCTATTCCTTAGGTCCATCGATCTTGTCTATGACATTGGCTGAGCTTGGGACTATTATTCTGTACGTTGTCCCAGTAGGAAGCCTTGTTCTTGGCAGGCTTCTAGGCAGAGTTACTGTAGCAAACACGATAATAAGTATACTCCCTTCCAAAAAAAAAAAAAACACCAACCCACAAAAAGGAGGTTGCATGGAGGTATCATCCATTAAGTCTGGTATCACTGGCACTTAGTGGAGATGCGTGCCAGTCAAGGTGACAACAGCTGGTTCAGCTGTTTTGAGAAGACATTGTGTTACATTCCATCCCTTTTCCAACTGTATCCGAAGATATCAAAATGGAAGTCTATCTTGTCCTTTTATCCTCTTTGATGTAGTATGTAAGTTTTCAGATTGTCAGGATGGCAAATTAAGCAGAAAATAATTTCTTTTTAATTAGTCAGACAACGTTAATTTTAATTGGGCAGCTATTTTACTGCTTATTTTTCCTGAGGGTATGAAACAGTGATTCTGCTACGTTTATCACATCTGAATTAAATGGAAATGGTTTGTGCTCAAGTTGATTAGCATTTTAAACAAAAGACCATTCATTTTGTACATGTGTTTGTACGGGCCGTCTGTTTAATGGTCCTACCTGATGGTATAACGTGGTGAGAGTTACATTCCTTACAAAGCTGCTGGAGTTTCTCCAGGCCAAACTTGTGCTTGAGCAAGGTAGGGGCAGAATTAGTGGTGAGCAGAGCGTTGCTGTGGGATGTGCTGTGGCCTTCATTCCCTGGCCAGCCAGACCTGTGGTTGCAGTCACCCCTTTATTGAAGGGAGGATCTTGGGGGGTTGGTTTCCCCGAGGAAGGGAGGGTGCAGGGGAACACCTAGCGTGAGACAGGTGGGTCTGAATGCCTTCCCGTTTTGTGCTAAACTACAGAACGCTTCGAAAGCCAGCAAAGCAGACACGAGTGCCAACACAAACGCCGAGGAGATCTGTCCTGTGGAGAAGGAGGAGGCACCATCGCCCGTCCAAGTGACGCCTCCGCCCCCACCTGTTGAAAAACTCCCTAAAAAAAAGACTCCCAAAACTGTGAAAACCCCCAAACAACTCAAGCCATCCAAACCCCCCAAACCTCCCAAGCCACCCAAACCTCCCAAGCCTCCCAAAACACCAAAAGTTAAGGGAGAAGGTAAAAAGAAAGGAAAGAAGGCAAAAGAGAGTCCACCCCCAGCCATCCCGAATCTCGACTTGCTGGAGGCACACACAAAGGAGGCTTTGACAAAGATCGAGACGCCAAAGAAGGGGAAGGTGGGTCATGTTTTAACCTCTCCCTGTTCTCTTGCCATAAGAGGGTTAAAATCACTCCCTAGGTCTCATGATAAAATAATTTAAGCAGCAGTGTAAAACTCTGTCTCCACTGAAGTAAAACAGTTTTGTAAGTGCTAGTTTATCGCCCTTTTTTTAACCTGTTTGATTTGATTTGACTGTTTGCTTGGTTATTCATTTGATGTGGAGCCTCCAAGAAACCTATTGATTCGAGCTGAGTCTGGCAAGCTACTGCCAGTTCCCTGCCCAAACTGAGGTGAGATGAAAATCAAAAGGCATTTTTAATGGCGCTTTTTTTTGTGTCCCTTGAACTATTGTATTATTTCAAGTGTCACTAGCACTCTTGTGTGCATTTCCATAATCAGTTGTCAAAGATGAAGGAACTCATTTCTAAAGCATCTTGCTTGCATGAGATTTTGCTCTAGAGTGAGTGAATGAAGACAAAACAATAGTTTGCTTCCATTTTTGCTCATGTAGGACAAGTTTCATTTTGATGTCCTGTAATTCGACGTGAATTTTGCTGCTGACTACAGTAAGGGCCAGGATTTCATTGAGGCACTGACCGAGTAATGTATTGTACACTGTTTTTTAAGAAGTATGCATAAGTCTTTTCTAAAATGCTTCTGAATTTCCTAGTACTTTGTGTGCAGTTTGCAAAACCTTTTCCACGGAGCAGGAAAAGGAGAGATTAGTATGTTCTTACAGTAATCTTGTATGTTGGCATATCAAGGAGAAATGCAACTAGTCTTCTGCATTCTCTGAAGCAGCAATATATGATTGAGTCTCATATTTGGGTTCAAAAAGAATGAATCAGAAGAGGAGTTTTCAAAAATATATCATGTTATGTTCCAGATAAAAAATATGTTTCTGTAACATGCCAGCACTCCATCCTCATTAAGAGTACATGCTGACTTTTTCTCCAGGCTGCAAAGAATGTTTTAAGTGTTCCCAATAAGGAAACTGCTAGTAAGCAGAATGAGGTGGAGAAATTTGAAGTTCGAGAGCAAAATAAAAGCAAAACAGAAGCCAAATGGAAATATAAGGTAATGTCTCCTGTTAAATTCTGCCACATAGTATTAAGTCAAGGGTGGAGAAATGTTCCTAGGTTTACCTAAGCAGAGAGTACAAGGCACCAATTTTCAGTTCCCAAAGAGAAACATTTGAGCAGAAAAAAATCAGGTAATCACTGATAAAGAAGGGGGCAAATTCTTCAAAAGCAGAGGCCACATTGTCCATCGGCACCCTTGTTGAAGCCAATGGAACACTGTTAACAGTGAGATTTTTCAGTGCTGATCTCTTTTGTGATTCTTTAACACAGTCATACTACTTTAAGTCTGGAGTAGTTCCAGAGAAATCAATAACTAACGATGGCATAAAAGTAGAGTTAATGAAATCTGAATTATGCCACATGAATTAACAGCTTGCCTTCCTGGAGGGCTAATGTAGGGTGAGTAAAATACATTCATAGGATGATACATTTCTTTTCCAGGTACCATTTAAAACAAGGTGACACTAGGCTTTCTCACAGAAATAGCTGTCTGAATTTTGCCCGCTTCGTGAACTTCTAATGACAAAGGTGCAAACAAATTCCCCAAAACAAAACATAAGTCCATGCATTTTCACGTGGGCAAACTACTAAGAATCACGAATCATTAACATCAGAGACATCTAAATTTTTTTTTTGTTAAAAAAAGTCACAGCTCATGTGATTAGATCAATATGTACCAATTAATTCTGCAGCCTGTACAGCTTAGGAAAGTATTAAGGCGATACTTAAAAAGTAATCAGAGGTTTCCTTTGCACTGAATGACTTTGATATTATTAAATTCATAATTCAAGCTTAATTTCAATTTCATTTCAAGTCATAATTTCAAGGTGTGAAAGAAGCAAGTGGAGCCTGGGAATAAAATGCAGTCGTATCTGTGAGGTTACAGGCACTGTGCTAGATTCTGTCCTTAGCCACGCAGGCGCGATGCTGATGAGCTCGGCCTGTGCCCCGATTCACCAAGTGCGTGGTTTGTATTTTCCATCAGTCTGCACCAGTTTAAGAGAACAATATTTAAATTAGGCATCGTGTTGTGGCAGGTGTTGCTTAAACTGGTGCTGAAGTGCTTCTTGAATGGGGACAAGTCCCTGAACTAAAACCCATGCAGTCTAAGGACGAGTATAATCCGTTATTACTTACTACATTTGGGGAAACATATTTTTCTCTGCATATAGATCAATGGATTCCCTGAGGTTACATACAAATCTGAAATACCAACTCATTCAACTGATTTTGTTGTTTTGGTTTGGGTCTTTTGCCTTTCAGAACAGTAAACCCGATTCACTTTTAAAAATGGAAGAGGAACACAAATCGGAAAAGACGCCTTTATCAGGAAATAAGGACAACAAATTTACATTCTCTTTCTCTAATAAGAAGTTGCTTGCGTAAGTCAAAAATATGACAATACATCTCAATTTAAAAAATTGGTTAAAAAGAGTTTAAAGTCCTGTCATTATTTATGGGGTTTTTTTACAGAAAGGTGAAAATCCGTCTCTTGGGTCAATGTAGAAAACACACTTAGGCAAAAAATTCTCTCTAGAACTTGATTTTACCCAGAACCCAGCATAGCTGGCCATAACAGCAGCGACCTGTCTTTGAGGATGGTAGCGTGCTTGAGAGCAGTGTCTTCAGCGTTCAGGCAGTATCTCATGTTTTGGCACTTCAGGTTCTTACTAGTTGAGTTATATTAAGTAGGTTTTGTGCAGATCCTACTCAGAGTACGTTTTTAAGAAACTGTTAAATGAACTCTGTGTAGCAAAATTCCATGCTGTGTGTGGATTATGCATATCACGATATACCTTGAGATAGCTTTAAATAATACAGTGCTTACTTGTTCACATCGTATCTTGAGATATAAATTGTAGGTACAGAAATGTGTTTATAAAATTATTTGAATTGCTGTGGCACCTCTGAAAGTATTCAAGTTGACTGAGATTTCTACGTAAAGATACTCATTGTCTTCCCCTATGCCAATCTGCAAAATGTTTACCAATCAGAGTACTGTTACTGATTTGTAATCTTTTTTTTTTTTAGTTCAAAGGGAGTCAAAACCCAGCTGAATACCAGTGTGTTTGGGTCACTGCAGAATTTTAAAGAAGATAAAGCAAAACCTGTACGAGATGAATATGAATACGTGTCAGATGATGGTGAACTAAAAATTGATGAGTTTCCAATTAGAAGGAAGAAAAACACTACAAAAAGAGAACTGCCCTGTAAGAATATTTCCTGTTTTGTCTGTATCTGCACAACAAAGTCTTGTGTGCTGATTGTCCAAAATTAGTCTTTAAGATTGATGTGGTTTATAATAAAGCAAGCCATGTCTTAACTGTCAGTCAAATATAAATGGATCTGAATTGCTTTAGAAGTTATGGCTTAGGAGTGCTAGCTTTTGAAGGGAAAAGAACTTTCATGACTTTGTTTTTCTTTTTTTTTTTTTAATTCAGTTTTATCAGATAAAAAAGACACTCTGCAGCACCCTCCTGTTAAGAAGCCAAAGGTGGAGTCGGTATCATACAAGGTATGTTTATTATTGTACCTATCACACGCAAACACCCGCTGTATGTCTCTAACAGTATGTGTGACGACAGCAGCAAAGCCTTCTTACAGGCACTTTTCACATCCTCTCCTTCCTTCTGCACTCCCAGTCTGCCCAGAACAGGTAGCATTCAGGCATTGCGGGCGTGAAGCATAATTTGGTGCTGTGGCTCAAACGGCTTCTACGTGATCGGGCCTGATGGGGACTGTGACAGTTGTACAAGAACAGGAGCAAGCTGTGAGAAGGAATAGGAAGGGTCAGGAGGAGTTTTCTGTCGTACCTGGCTTGATGTCACGTTGCCGCAGGCACAGGGGTCTGTCCCAAGCTGTGCTCCCAGCCTGTTTGCCCCCCACTTCCATGTGCTTTGAACACTGGCTGTCAAATTGCATAGAATCATGGAATCCTAGAATGGTTTGGGTTGGAAGGGACCTTAAAGCCCATCTAGTTTAACCCCCTGCCATGGGCAGGGACACCCTCCACCAGCCCAGGTTGCCCAAAGCCCCATCCAGCCTGGCCTTGAACACTGCCAGGGAGCCAGGGGCAGCCACAGCTTCTCTGGGCAACCTCTGCCAGGGCCTCAGCACCCTCACAGGGGAGCATTTCTGCCTCCCATCCCATCTCCATCTGCCCTCCTGCAGCTTCAGGCCATTCCCCTTGGCCTGTCACTCCCTGCCCTTGTCACCAGCCCCTCTCCAGCTTTCCTGGAGCCCCTTCAGGGACTGGAAGGGGCTCTAAGGTCTCCCTGGAGCCTTCTCCAGGCTGAACAACCCCAACTCTCTCAGCCTGTCTTCATAGCAGAGGTGCTCCAGCCCTCGCATCATCTCCGTGGCCTCCTCTGGACTCGCTCCAACAGCTCCGTGTCCTTCTTGTCCTGGGGCTCCCCGAGCTGGACACAGCACTGCAGGGGGGTCTCACCAGAGTGGAGTAGAGGGGCAGGATCCCCTCCCTCGACCTGCTGGTCACGCTGCTGGACACACAGCCCAGGACACGGTTGCCGGCTCATGTTGAGCTTCTCAGCAATCGACACCCCCAAGTCCTTCTCCTCATGGATTGAACATTTTCCATGTTCACGTCTGACAGATGAAACTCGGAGTAATGCTAATACAATAGAACTCACGTAATTTGGCATTTCACATTACTAGAAGCCCTTAGTACCTCTTATGTAGCAACTAAAGGTTTGTTTGCTATCACTTGGCAGGGTCTCCCTCTGCCCATTGTGGACTTCCAGCTAGAATGCCCTTGACTCAGCGTGATACTGTAGCGTGTCCCTGACCTGGGGCAGTGCCCGTGTGCCGGTTGATAGCTAACCTTCAGAGAGCTGAACAGCACAGGCAGAAGTTTGCTCTGTGTTAGCATTGAAGGTCAACACTGGAAAAAAATGACATTAAATGATGTTAAAATTAAATGTTTTGCTGAACTGTGGTTAATACAAATTCATATTGTAATATCTGAATTAGAAAAAGCAGAAGAGCTTGTTAACACAGAACTGTAGGTGACTGAAATGTTTGGCTCTAAGAACTAAGGGATCTTTTTCATCCTGGTTTGGCTCGGGGATATTCAGGAGCAAGTGCAGAGCTCCTTGCCTCAGGCGGTAGCTGACGTCTGGAGAGCAGTGCCCAGGGAAGAGGGGAAACAGGCTGGTATCTCGCTGTGCAGGAGCGTAGGGAGGCTGGTTCCTGGGGAGAGCAGTATTTGGCAATCTAAGCAGTAAGGGCTGGGACTTCAGAGGCTTGAAAGCAGGGTAGGAGAGGGGAGAAGAGTCGGCTTATTGTACTCTACACCACAGTGTGTAGAGATACCAGCCCCGGAAAGATCGTTAGATGCAGGTAGCTTCCTTCAGCAGCCTCGGATGCTACTGTTCATACACGTCTATCCCATTCCTCTGTCTCTTGCGGCTGGGATGGCAGAAGTGGGTCTGTCGCTGTGTCAGAACTGGCCGTGTTAAGGGCCTTAAAAGCTACAGACCTGCGCCCTGATGCGTGTCTGGGCTGACAGAGCCATGGCCACACGTACGCTTCTTTTGCTAAATGGGTCAAGGTCTCGAGAGCAGGAGCAGGGGCTGAGATGGCAACACAGCACCTGGAAGCACCGCTGTTCTAGTGGTTTCATCCCTTGCGCAGGATCAGATCTCAAAGCTGGTTCTTCAGGCTCGGAAGGGGAAAGAAAAACCCACCATGCCTACAGGCTGCAGGGAAACAGACTTTTACTGTGTACCTGGGTTTGGGTTGGGTTTCTTGTTTAAGGAAAGCAAATTACAAATGCTAGCTTTGTGTCTTTGGAGGAGCAGCAGGCTGCAAAAAAATCACTGCGTTGTTCTTGTTGACTAACTTAGTGAGTTTCTGGGGTTTTTGAGCCATTTCCTTGTTTTGCAGAGTGATGACTCGTCAGATGAAGATTTGCTTCACATTGACACAGAGGCAAAGCCAGGGCGCAATTCCAAAGTAAAGAAAGAGAGCGGAAGTTCCGCAGGAATTCTTGATCTTTTGCAGGCAAGCAAGGAAGTCGGGGGTTTAGAGTATAACACCAACAGGTATGCACCAAGGGGTGTTTTTTCCTCTTACCCATAAACAAAAATTGCTCTTCTGTCGTTGTGTGAGTGAGAGAATGAATTTTGCAGCTCAGTAACTGCTTTTTCTCCAGTAAGCAAATTCTTCCTTTATCCTGTGATCTGGAGGGAGAGGTTGGAAAGTGTGTGGGAAAGATTTTGGTAGTATAATTTAAACAAATAGAGGCATTTCACATCTGTAAATGCTGAATATCCTTTTTAGCAATAATACTATAATAGGTGAATCATTCAAAAGGGAGAGCTCAGTGAATGCAGCTTGAGGGCATGAATAATGTTTTTTAATGTAGTAATAATATAATAATCTAAATGACCAGCATTCGTTTCATAAAGCATTGTTGTAAGGTGCGGCACAGTTCCCCAAATATTGAGTGTTTGAAAGAAGAAAATAGGAAACTGTCTACTTTCCTGCCATCATTCTTCTCCCCGCCAAAATGCATGGCTTGGAAAAAATAAAACTCTTTCAGGGGTATTTCTATACCTAAAATGGAAGTGCTTGCCTGGGCTTGTGTTCCATATGGGACCACTATAGGTGGGCACTGAAGTCGACACTGGATGTTATGGAATATGGTTAATAAGGTACAGCACTAGATCTTTTGGTAATCCAAACAATGAGCAGTGAAAAGGAATGCAAAATTGGGAAATGTGGTTCCCAGGCTCAAACTCCTTGTCTGGAACAAGGGTTTTGTTTGGGCCCATCTCACAGTGAGCGTATGGATTCACTACCTCCACTCTGTACAGGCCAAGTCTGAGCTTAAACTACTGATAGAGCAATTAGGCAACAGAAGTATGCGCGTCGTTCGGAGAGAAGCTAGTAGGACTCTTCACCTATGGAAATGTCTTGCTTAACTCAAGCCTTAGGAACCAATCCCTGGGAAGGGGTTTCGGGAACATCAACTGAGTTTCTGGCTTCCGTGCGCAGGATGGCACTGCAGAGATGAGCTGCTCCCTCTTCCGTGCTCCCTAGCAGTCTGCTGATTACGTAGGTCTTTGCTGCTGGAGTCTTAACTGAAGGATTTGTCCCGTCTGTACAAACCCAGAGGTATTCACCTGAGCAGGCTCCACTGCTCCACAGCAACCACAGCCTTGGTACTTTTGGAAGCTGGGGGCTGTTTGTAAGTTGCTGGCACAAGTTTCTAACCTCTAAATATGCCTGCTGCGCAAACAAAGGAATCGTCCTCTGAAAGGTGAGAATGGAAGGCCAGGTGGCGATACGGGAGATGAGGTGAAACGTGTGGTAAGGCTATTCTTGTTTGGCATTTTAGTAAGCCAGCTCCATCTCCGCTCTGCCTTCATTTGAAAACCGCCTCCACCAGGCAGGCGCGACGTGTGGTTCTCCAGGCTGGCTGCTTGAAGCAGCGTTTTTCCTACTCAAGATTCAGATAACAGACGTCGCCCGGAAGCAAGAGGTGTGTTGTGCCATTTTATACGCGCAAAGCAGCGAAACCAATCTGCTTGGAGTAGTAAAGCCAGGTACCGTATTCAGTGGCTGCAGGGGTACCCCAACAGCATCTTTTTCCTCCCTGCTTTCGCTACCTCTGCCTCGGTTATACAAAGCCACGGAGCCTGTGCAGGAGGTAGCAGTAGCTGTAGGAGTGGTCCGGGAGTTGAGAACAGGCTGGACAAAGAGAGACCGGTGCTGTCCTTCTGCCCCCTGCTCTGCCCTCACTGCGCCGGGTGTGCGGGACCCAGGAAAAGTGCAGCCTGCACATTTGAAAAGACCTGTTAAAGGGGAATGAGAAGGTCCCCTCGGAGAGGAGGATGTTATCTGAAGCTGGGAAAGATTGGAAGTTAAAAGCCATAACTGAGAATTCCAAAAGGTATGCATTGTGGTCAAAGGGAAACATATGGAATAAGTTACCAAGGGAAATCGTAGAAGCAAATTTTATCAGTGAGTTTAAAAAAAAAAAAAAAGAGCTTTTTGATGCTGAGAGAGAAAATGGAATTTTTTAAGGTTTGCAGTGCAGTGACAGAGCTACAGAGAAATCTAAAGCATCTTCTGGTTCATCCTTCCTCAATTTGTTAGGCAATTGTCTCTTTCACAGCTTGGATGGTTGCAAGAGATTAAAGCATTTTATATAGACTGGCTTCATGCAGGGTACATCAGTTGCGCAGTACCAGGCAGCTCTGTGAGACAGGCTTGCCTTTGTGCATCGACATTTAGGGTTTATTACTTGCTGCAGCACAGTGACAGGGATCCTCACCGCTGCTGAGCAGAGGGGGTGTGTGCAGTCTCCTCTAGGAGTTCTCTGTTCATTCCTGATGGGGGTGAAAAAAGCCAATATTTGTAAATCACCTAGCATAGTCACTACACATCCTTAGAAGGCTTATCTTGACAAGGCTGCTATTCCTAGAGAAGACATCTAATCTTGATTTAGTCCTGGTTTTCCTCCATTCCTGCCTTCCCCCTAAGCAAGCAGTGGTTGATCAAACCGCCAGCCCCCTCCTGTGATTGCGGAGGGCATGGGGAGAGGTACCGGTGTGTCTGCAGCTCCCAGGAAGGTGGGTTTTGCTGTCTGGGTTCAAGTGGGTCAGTGGTTCTAGATTTTCCTGATCTCTTGAGATTTGGCCCCTTCTCTGTGTCTGCTCTTCAAAGGACATAATCGCATTGGCACTCGTCTGTTTGGCTGTTCCTGTGAATTCCTTTTCCATTCTGTGTTATGGTACATAATGGCACTAGGGTTTATGTCCAATTTATGCTTACATTTTGGGCAGGTAGTTAGGTGTATCTAACTCTGGGGATAAAGTTGCCAGTGTAATATGACTCCCATGCTTGGAATTTGGTATAAAATAAGAAAACTTGTCAACCATTGTAAGAATTAAAAGAAATCTGCCTTGGCGATGTTTACACTACCAGCCAGGTTTGCTGCCTGCTTACGATGTGCAGCAATGCAGGGGTAAGCGGAAAAACCGGGTTAAAGAAACGGTCCTCAAAGATTCTCTGTGTAGCTTGGGAGGTGTCTTCTGCTGCCTGCGATGGGTTAACGCTGCCTCTCAGTACCGGAGCAGGGCTTGGGCTTTTCATGTTCCCTCCCTCCAGCCTGGGCTCTGTACCCAGCGCATTTGTAGACTTTGTGGTTTCCGAAATCAAAGTCGCAAACGCAGTCACGTAACTAAACTCTGCATGAATTGCTCCGCTGTGTGTGGTAGTTTAGTGGGAGTGTGTCGTATCAATTTTGGCTCTTGTATAAACAATTAGGCTTTGGCAGTGTGTGTTGCAGCTTGATTGAAAAAAGCTCCCAATAAATGAAATTACTATGTTTCATTTCATAATTACACTAGGCTTTTTAAATGGCCATAACGTGCTTTTTTTTTTTTTTTTTAAATGGAAGAAACGTGATACGCAAACATACTGTGTCACAACATAATGCCAGTGCGGTCATGTCTGACTCTCAGGAACAATTTCCATCTTTGTCTGCTTGTAAGGCAGATGAAGGGTAGGCATTTGTACGCATTTTTATATATACATACCTATATGTGTACGTATGTTCTGGATACTCCACGTGGCAGTAGTGCAGGTGGGTCTGTGTGGAATCGCCTTTGCTCACGGTGGTCTGTGCAGATGAGAGCCAGCTCTGAGGTGGGAAGCGTGGAGCCCTGTCAGACCAGTGCCGAAGCTGCTGAA